GTGGGACAAAAGATATTTCAAATCAAATCATTTATCACCTGTCACTCTAGAAATGCTGTGTATGTGCTCAAGTGTCCTTGTGAACTGCAATATGCAGGCAAGACATCTAGGTGAAAAAACGAGGATACGTGAGCGCATCTACAGCATAAAAAGAGGTTATCTCAATCACAATGTGTCCCTTTAATTTTTTTTAAATGCCACAATAGTGATCCTACTACCCTGCAATTTTATGTAATTCCGATTTTACAAAAACATTGGAGCGGTGGCAATTTGGAGTCTACATTAAGCAAATGTGAGATGAAGTGCATGGGATATTTGATCTAGATACTCTGTCTCCAAATGGGCTTAATGTCGACTTCAAAATGGCTGTTTTAATCTAAATGGAAGGTTTTACCTTGAGCCATATGATGAGAGATATAACATTGCCCCCTTTTTAAAATATTTTTAATAATTCTTTATCTATTTTTTAAATTAATTTATTTTTCTCTTTTTTTTTTTCTTTTCTTTTTTTTTTCATTTCAGACTTATATCAGCCCTGCATACGTTTATTGTTGCTTATATACTTCGGGCCTTAATATATAATCATCAATTCATCTTGTAAATCTTATTAGTCTTACTATCCCTCCCACCTCGGTCACCCCCACCCCCTACTCTAAGTTAACACTTAATATGGGTTTCTGTCTATCTGAGCCTCTTGTTTCTTATGTAGTATTCGTTGTTTTATTATTCTATTTGTTGGCCAGTTTAGGGTTATATATATTTTTTCTCCCTTCATCATCTTTCTGAAAAGTGGTGAAAGCCTAGTATGTCATCCATTTTGTTTATGCATATATCCCATTCTTCTATTTGCTTATATCTATTTCCTAGGTTCACAAGGATACCCCTTTCCATTCTTGCTTGCCATATGACTTGTTTTATTAGTTCGTTAATACTTGGGATCGTCTCTGTGGTAGTAGTAATTTAGCTGCAGTAATTATGTATAGTATTAGCATTGACATTCTTTTTGTCATATCTGGCCAATGCTAGTTTACCAGAACCACTTTGGCTTAGGAGGTAATTTTATTTCCGTTATTTGATATATTATCTCAACAACTTCTTTCCAAAATTTGTTTATGGGTGTACACTGCCACCAGATATGGATCATTAACTTCACCAATATTGCATTTCCAACATCTATCTGATAACTCTGGGAAGATTCTTTTTAAATGTTTTCGTGTTAAATACCATCTATTTGATAGTTTAAATTGGGTTTTCTGTAAGGTTTAACCCCTTAAGGACACAGGTTCAGAAGCTTGTCTTACGCTTAAGGACAAAGGCCATTTTTGCATTTTTTGCTGTTTGTATTCAAACACAATTTGCATCTCTGTCATTTATTGCACCAACACATATTATACATTGTTTTTTTTAGAGGGCAAACAAGGCTTTATACATATACATATACATAGATACATTCTCATTAATTATATAAAAATGCCAAAAAAAATAAAAAAATAAATATTTTTCACAGTTTTGGCAATAATAGCGTGTGCATAATATGTCCAGTTTAGAAAAAGTAATTCAAAATAAATTCATTTATGTGTCTTGATTTATAGCGTGCATCATATGTATAGGATTTCAGCTTATTTTGAAAGCTACAGGTCACAAAATACAAGGACTAAAATAAAATTTTAATTTGCAACAATTTTAGAATTTGGTATGTTTGTCTTGTAGGTTTAGTAGCCATCACAGAAAACAAAATTGCAACACAAAAGTATATATTTATATAAAGTAGACATCAAAGGCTATTTTAAAACACAAAGTGGTAGGTCTACTAAGTGATACAAGCTCTAACACCTGTGAGGTATCCCCTACACCTACACCTTTAAATCATTTATAACACACAAACAATAGGTGGAGCAAGTATGGCATATAGATAAAAAAAACAAAAAAAACAATTAAGTGATACTTCTCTCTCTTCTTGCTTTGTCACTGTAAAGATAGAGAGGTACAGAATAGTGCAGATACCTTAATACATAATATGTAAATACAATATAACTAAAACACACTCACAAAGATAGAGCCATATACTGAACCTTGCTCTAGTGTGGATTTCCTTAGGATCTCTTTAGGGTGATCCAAACCCTCTTTGTTGGTGCTCTGGAAGAGTGGAAATATTCCTTCTCAAAGATAGGCAGCTGAGATGAAATAACTTGCCTAAAATTGAATTTATTGTTACATACACTGGATAAAACACTTCATAAAGTATAAGTTAAAAAGTCTACTGTTGTCCAATTGTGTGCCAAAACGCGTTTCGCCAAAATGTGGCTTCCTCAGTTGGCATAAATGATGCTGTTCCATCTTTTGTTCTTTAAATACATGCATTGCTTTCGATTTCCGCTGTCTTTTTTTTGGTGGAACGCATCCTGCGTTCCACAATGCGACTTCCTGGTTCTCCATATCGTGTCCGATCACATGTGTGGTGAGACGCATCCTGATCTCCAGCTTTGATCCGTCAGGTTTATTGGGCTGTGCTGGGAGTGCACTGCGGCGGCCATCTTGAGGGCGCCTCGTGGCTCACCCATGTTTCCCAGCCAGGCCCCGTGGTAGTAGCTTGTGGAATGTGTTTCAGTCACTCAGTGCGGACCGGGATATCCCCCACCGGTCCAAAGGGGGGAGTAGGAGTTAGGCGGTATGATGAGCCCGCTTGCTAGTTCTCTAGCGAGGAGAGCGGCCGCCTCTCCTCGGTTCGATCCCAGGTAGGCCTTAGCAGGTTTTATGGGGTTCCCGGCTATTGTTAGGCAAGATTCGGGTGTCGGATGGTGTCCCCGGGTGTCCCCTCCTCATTTATCATCCTCCAGAGACTTAATGTGCTGGATTTTGGGTTTTTTTACCCTCAAATTAGTAGTTTTGGTCAGGAGCTGGGTTCCTGCATGTCTGTTCAGCCTGGAAGCTAGGCTCCGCTCCCGATTTGTTGTTTTTTCTGCGCCACTCTTTACGAATATTATCTTTATATTCCAGCATGATAGGGCTATGATCTGACCATGCTATATCCTGTATCTCTATCTTTTTTACGAGATACAGCAAGGACGCGTTTCCCAGGATAAAATCTATTCTAGAGTAAGAATTAAATGTTTGGAGTAACATGTGTAATCTACATCTGTTGGATTAAATATTCTCCATATATCTCTTAAATTATAATTATTCAGTAGGCTTTGCAATCTATTCTCATCTTTTGCCAGTGTTTTTCCTATCTATCTGGCTCCTTCTATCTCTTAGCGGGTTGACTACACAGTTGAAATCCTCCATAATTAGTACCACACCTTGTCTGATCTGCTCTATTTAAAAAAACAAACAAAAAAAAAACCCAACAACTTTTACTATAAATTAACCCCTTAAGACCGGAGGGCGTACTATTACGCCCTATTCTAAGCGGCTCTAAACGCCGCCGGGCGTAATAGTACGCCCTCCGGTCTTTTCCTACTTATCCGGTCGCCTGGCGATCCCACGCCGGCGATCGCGGTTTGGGGGACTCCCAGGGAGCCCCCTGCGGCACGTCCGTCCTCCTGGAAGCCCCCCGGCCATGTGAGAGCGGGGTCCTTGCGAGGACCCCACAATCACATGGCCGGGGGTAGCTGGCTGCAGCATTGCCAGCATGAGGGCTGCCTGTAATGACAGGTGGTCCCCCTGCTGGCTGAAAATAAAATAAAATAAATAGTGTAAAAAAAATAATAATATATACTTAGATCATATCTATATGTTATATAGATATGATCTAAGTATATATATATATATACACATATACATACACACACGTACACCGTCTAGGTGTATTTTACTATTAATATATATATAATTATATATATATATTAATATCAAATTACACTTAGACTGATACTGATTAAATATATATATAATTATTGTTATATATATATATTTATATATAATAAAAAAAATAAAATGTAAATACGTTAAAAAATAAAATTAAAAAATAATTAAAAATAAATAATTAAAAATATATAGATGTGTGTTATTTCGTTCTAACTGTATTGTGAAATTAATATATATATATATATATATATATCAAAATACACGTAGAACGAAATAATATATATATCTATATACATAAATATATACGTATATATCACTATATATATAACTATATATAAATAAAAATATTTAAAAAAAATTATATAGATATATACATATATACACATACGTATATATATATACATATATTAATTCTACATACATATTTATGTAATATTTTTGCATAACTAGGTATCTTAATTAATTACAATTAGCGGGACCTGCCTGACAACCCATGCCGAAAGTAAAGAGAATTTAATTTGCTAGCACTATATTTAACCCTATAACTTTCCAAGACAACATAAAACTTGTACATGGGGGGTACTGTTCTACTCGGGAGACTTCGCTGAACACAAATATTAGTGTTTCAAAACAGTAAAATGTATTACAACGATGATATCACCAGTAAAAGTGAAGTTTTTTGCATTTTTCACACACAACCAGCACTTACACGGACGATATTATTGCTGTGATACTTTTTACTGTTTTGAAACACAAATATTTGTGTTCAGCGAAGTCTCCCGAGTACAACAGTACCCCGCATGTACAGGTTTTATGGTGTTTTCAAAAGTTACAGCATCAAATATAAGGCTTGTGTTTCATTTTTTTCACATTAAAATTCGCCAGATTGGGGGGCGGGGCCTAACCAGCATGGCCGACAGACATGTGTGAGATGAGCTCCTCACACAAAATGAGGCACCCATGGTTTAAATAGAGGTATAACCCCTAAAACCAAAACCAAAGAGACTACACACTATAAACTACCGACCGGGAACCCTCTCAAGCGAAACTGGAGACTCACCCCGCACTCTAAAGCCAGAACCAGACTCTGCGGCCTACTTACCTGGCAGATCCCACGAGGGAGGGAAGCGGCCGATCCTCCAACTTGGGGCTACCAGACTACCGCAGCAGACCTGCTCCCCCCCCACCCCGCCCTTTGGACCGGTGGGGGTCATCCCGGTACCAATTAGCAGACAGGCAGCTAAGTACACCTCAACAGTAAATAACGTCTCCCCATACCGGAGCCGCAACCAAAATGGCCACCACGACGGAGAAATGCACTGCAACAGACTGGGAGACCAGCTTTAATGCCAAATTCGACAGGGTGTGCGCAGCGTTCTGGCACCGGATTGAAGCCCGTACTCAGCAGGCGCAGCCACCCACAACTCAGACTATAAAGCTCCAACCGGCAACATTCCCAAAAAACTGCTTTAGTGAGCTGACAAACCCAGCCACACACATGGCCCACGCCGCGGCCTCAACCGCACTGACCTCTTCTGGGCCGGGTACTCACCTGGAGGTACCCCTCCCCCGCCAGCCACACACCCAGGGTAGAAACCGGACACCGGAACACCCCTGGGACCAGGACCCCCAAATCGGGACCTGCGGCAAGAAGGCGCGAGTCCCCGTCAAGGCCTCAGGCCGAGGACATGCGGCACACAGACTGCGCAAGCCAGTGCTAAGCTGGACACAACAACCGACAAGAACACCCAAACGACCACCTAAACTGGAGAGACAATCTGGAGAAACACAGGAGACTCCCACTTACAAAAGGAGCAGAAAAAGGCGCACATCACGACCCGAGCCACAAACCCCCCGCACACGCAGCAGCCGAGAGGCTCAACCCAAGCAGCCGAGGACGGCACAATGCCCTCCAGTAAAGGGGGCCCAAACTCCTCTACACACCACTCACCGAACCTCGCTGTCATGGAACTGTGGGCCCAATAACGGGAACCTCGGACTGGAGGATCTCTTACGCAAAGCCAGCGACCTACACGCAACCCCAAAGGTCCCACAGAACAGGTGTAGGCTGACTACGGACTGAGACCTGGGAGCTCCACCCGAGTACGGGGGAAAGTTTCCAGTGCTGCAACAAGACCTCTCAGTCTATGTCTTCAAGAAACACTTTCACGATGCTGAAATGTTGTACAAGGAATTAAAAGGCACAGTAAACAAAGTACTTTCAGGGAGTGGATACTCTGAAGTGAACCTCAGCAAGCTGTTTCAGACACTCTCCACAATAAGCTAGAGCTACAGATTCACAGGTTTTATTGTAAATCTGGATGACTGTTGTTTTTTTTTTTTGGTTTTTTTTGAACTGGTACCAAAGCAAAATATAACTGTTCTATATACACTCTAGAACTTGAGTTTGATTTCTTTATAATACAAGTATGTAAAGAGATTTTAGGGACTAGCATTTACAAGTGCTAACATGCTTTGAAACTTAAACAAGTGCAATAGATGTTGGTCACTTGTCTCTCTTTTTGTGATTTCACTTGAAAAGGCCTTTTTTTTGGGGGGGGGGGTCTTGGATAGTGAACATGATCCCTTTGTTTAACCTGATGCATTTGACACCATGTTGAGATTTTTTACTTGTACACAGTTGTCCATGGAGACCCAGGAGATAAAAGGATTGCTACTTTAATAATTCCCAGTGAGAGTGGCTGAAATGTAAGCGATCCTAGACCTTTTTTTTTTT